GCGCAGCGCTGCGCACCGTACGTAAATATACGTACAATACATTCGTAAAATATACGACAAGTCTGGACCACTCGTAAATTTTGTTCGTATCTGAAAAAAATCTTAGAATATGAAAACATTGGTGAATGCCACAAATTCTCCTAAATCACTCGTACACACAATTTAAGAACAAATCTGTGCGTACCAACGGTTCTTGCATGAGGCCCAGTGTGTTTGAACTGGTTATCTTGATTCAGAAAGAATAGTTAGAAGTTTTAACTTTAAACTATATATATACAGTATATTACTCTTAACTGTTAAAAAAACATGTTTTTATATTTTTGAAGTTCTACTAATCCTAAATTGCTAGGGAAAATAAAACAAAAAACTGCAGAGGCCATGCACCCCTCTGGGTGACACCTCTGTTTCAATATAATTTTTTTGTGTAGTAAAAAAAATAGATTAAATCTGTTTTAAAGCAGGTCTGTGTCGTTTAAAAGATTTATTTTATAGAAAATATGTCTATTTTCCAAAAAGTGGATGTAGGTCCAACAAACTAAAATCAGAGTTGCTTTACAGTTTTTCTCCATAAGAAATGAAAAACATCAGAACAAGGACTTTCACTTAGATAAGTTTAAAGTGGAAATGTGTGATCATTACAGAATTTTTTAAATATGAACACGAACATCCTAAAAACAACCATTAAGCATGATTGTAGGTTTATATATCATAGAAAACTAAGAAACAAACATTCTCATTTAAAAATTTAAATATAAAAAAATCATCTTGGCATAAACTTGAGCTTATTGTCTTAGCAGAAAAAGTCAGTAAATTAGAGTTTGGTAGATTGTTTCTAGTTGTAACAATACTTCTTTTCAATAAATCTTATACTGTTGGAAATCCTGTTAATGTCACTTTTAAATGGAGCCACATTTGTAAGGTACATGCATGTGTGGGATGAGCGGTAGAGCTGAGTATGTGGGTTTGCATGAAACATTTGTCAAATCTTCTCTGTCAAACATCCTTTTCTGTTGTTATTGACTCTTGAGCTTCTGATACCTCCAGGTGCTGCCAGTCAGGTGCTGCTATAGGATTTATAACCAAGCATCATTGTCACAACAAAGAAATAATCTATGAAACTCTAATTTACTGACATTTTGTGCTAAGTTGTTAAACATTTAATCTAACTTTGAGTCTTAATTAAATTACCAGATAAAAGCAGCATGTTTCCCTTTTACCTAAACCTGCTTATTGTACTTCACAGATCATGGCTGACATTAAACGTGGACTCCAGTACTTGTTCCAGACTCAGAACAGGATGACTTTAGCCGTGAGTGGCACGGGTCACTCTGCCATGGAGTGTGCCATCTTCAACACGGTGGAGCCCGGGGATGGTGTGCTGGTGGCTGTCAATGGGGTGTGGGGAGAGCGAGCAGCAGACATGGCAGAGAGAATCGGTACAGCTTTACAGTAAAAATATATGACAGATTTAAAAAAAGCCAAACTGACTAAAATATGAAGCAAAGCAGGACTGAGAAAATACAAAAAACAAACAAAACAAAACAAAAAAACAAGGTCTAACATGCACATTACCTGACCCATTTGACAAGTATAGAGTAAGATCATTTAGTAAAACCATGAAAATTACAACACTTTGAGTGTATGTTGTTAATAACTCTTAGTTACAACCAAATCTTTGCTTAGCTCATTATCTGTAAAACTGGCAGAGTTTTTGGTTTTCTTCATGTCCATCAGCTGTGGCAGCCATCTTGAATCAGACAGGCTCTATAAGTTGAGCAGTTGGACATTTAGTGATTACTTTTTGAAACTTTCTTTAAGATCCATCCTTTGATTGTTCAGGAGGTATTTTGCTAACAGACTAAGGAACGATGTGTGCAATACGTCTCACTTAACAGTATGTGTTGCTAATGACTTTCAGATACTGTTAGAACAAATTTGAGCATAATACTGTATGTGAACTAAATTATTAGGGATTTTATAATATTGGTTGTCTGTGGCGGCCATCTTGAACAATAAATAAGTTGTAGATTTACATCCAGTGATTAGTTATAAGAGGTTCAAAATTAGTCCAGTTGTTCACGAGAAGTAAAAATAATGAAGCGATTCAATAATATTTTGTCCCTTATCCAACAGGTGCCAGAGTAAACACTGTAGTGGCGCCCCCTGGTGGCTACCTGACCAACGCTGACATTGAGAAGGTATCAATCAGCTTACAGGTTTAATAAATGAATGCTACCTGTAGTTGCAGTTTAATAATATGTGTTAATCTTACCACAGGCTTTATCAAGACACAAGCCCGTGCTGTTCTTTCTTGCACATGGAGAATCTTCCACGGGTGTCTTACATCCTTTAGACGGCATTGGAGAGTTGTGCCATAAGTAAGACTCATAACTTATCTTTGTTCTAGTCCCACCTGGAACAGTCTTATGAGTAAAGTTTTTTTTCTTATTTGTCTGCAGGTACAACTGCTTGTTTCTCGTAGACTCTGTGGCTTCAATAGGAGGGACTCCTCTCTACATGGACCAGCAAGGTTAACATCCAAAATATTTTCAGTCTCTGTACTGCAGGGGTGTCAAACACATTTTGACAGGGGGCCACGAGAATCATGGTGGTCCTCAAAGGGCCAGTTGTATTTAACTTCAAAGTTTCATGTTTAACTTCAACCAAACATGAACCGTCACATTCCTTGTCTTGTTGGTACAGCTGAGCACCGCTAACAAACCATAAGTGAGCTCTACCTGGTATTTACTACATAGAAACAGGGTTTTATCACATCCTCTTATAAACACTGAAAAGTACTACATGTGCAAATCACTAAATGTGAAATAAATAGTACAGAAAACTATTAAAAGTAAAATAAGAGTTTTACCCATTGTTGAGTTGTGGTATCTTCCACCATAAATTAGATGGATAGTTTTTTGATCCTCTTGGGGAAATTTTAGAATTCTCTGCTTTTTACCCATCACACATGTGAGCACTGAGCACTCACATGTGGAGCAGTGGGCTGCCATTTTTGAGGCGCTCAGGGAGCAGCTAAGGGCCTTGCTCAAGGGCCCAAAGTGGGCTGGTTGGTCCAGGGAGTTGAACCAGCAGTCTCCTGATCATAGGGTCACCTTTTCTAACCTCTGCGCCACCACTCTGCCAATTTCTGAATTTTCCCACTTTCTGACAGGGAGGGGCATTCCAGTTTAAATTTACGACTTGTAAGTGGAAAATTCCCACTTCCTGATTCAACTAGGCTGCAGCAAAAGTAGCAGGTGAGAAGATGCAGATTTAACATGACAATATTTGCCAGCTACTTTCAAACCCTGTGCAGCTCCGTCTAGTGGTGGAGCGCCATCATCCATTGTCTTACACTTTATCTGAAGTCGGGTCTCGGGGACAGCAGCTTTAAGCCCAGACCTCTCTTTTCACAGCCACCTCTTCCAGCTCTTCTGGGAGGACCCCAAGGTGTTCCCAGGCTAGCCGAGAGACATTTTCTTTCCAGTGTGTCCTCTATATTCCTTGGGGTCTCCTCCCAGTTGGACATGCCTGAAGCACCAAGGCATCCCGGAGGCATCCTAACCAGATGAACCACCTCAACTGGCTCCTCTCAGTGCGGAGGAGGGGCAGCTCTACTCTGAGTCTTTCCTGGATAACTGAACAGCCTATATGCCATGGACTTCTGTTCTAGCACTTCAGCATTTTTTGGCCACAGACAGCACTTCCAGTTCACAGGCAACACTGTGTTAGCGTAGGCTTTTTTCACTCATTGGCTGCTGTCCAATGTACAGGATTTGCACATTTCATGTACCAATATTTACACAGGAGAAGTACAAGTTGACAAATGTCCAGCCAAGTGGAAAAAAATACTCTAAAGTGGATTAAATCCATAAAAAATACAAAGGTAAAATGCCCAGAATTTAGCCTTTTTCACTATTCATTTGCTGCTTGTTCTGTGGATTTTTCATGTAAAACAGGGACACTTATATTGTTAAAAAGAGCAGAGTCTGGACTTTAAATTGATGGGATACTTGTGTGGTTTGGATAACGTTGCCCCAACATTGGTGAACTGAAAACGTAATGATTTTCAGGCGGAGGTTCAGCTGCTCTCGGTACAGGAGGGGAGGTGTGCTCGGGCTGTTTACACTGTAATATACACTCTAACTAAAGTTTTTGCTTTTTGCATAAAACTCACGAAAAGGTTGCCTAAAATAATTTCATACTCTGTATTACACAAACTTGTGCACACACACACCTGCCTTGTGAAGAATCCAATATTATTGTCGAAAGCAGCAAAATGATGACTTCCAAACAGCTGCCTCAGCGTCAGGCTCTCAAACTGTTCCCGTCGCTGGCGGATTTCCTCCCGGATAATAACATTTACCTCCAGCACTAAATCCACAACTGCAGGGTCTGGAGTAGCGGCATAATTGTGATCCAAACATCTAGTCTATTTACTATTGTGTTAACTTCCTCCTCGCTGTCCTCTGGAGGTGGTCTTTGCTCTCTCAGGTCTTGGCAGTGAAGGGGGTAATTGTACAGCTCCCTTCTTTAATCTCCATCTTCCCATTTCTGACACTGGCTCTTGAATATCCTCAGGTTTGAAATGCCATCTACAAATGCGAGTGTGAGCTTTCATAGCTAAGTTTTCCCTGTGTATAGCCACGATCCAATGTAGTCAATGCTGGCTTTAAAGAAGCTTATTTTAAGACATTAATACATCTTTGAAGCTCTTGCAAACCAAATAAAATCCTCTAGCAGGCCACATTTGGCCTGTAGACCTTGAATTTGGACACGTGCTGTATTGCATCTGATAAAAAAAAAAACAATGTGTTTGTTCCATGTTATCAGAAAGTTTCTGTCAATGTTTTGCAGGTATTGACATCCTGTATACAGGATCCCAGAAGGTTCTCAACGCCCCACCGGGTACAGCACCCATTTCGTTCAGTGAGAGAGCATGGTGAGACCTGCATACTGTGCTGTGTGCAAGCCTGATAGAAAAGTAAAAAAGTATATTTAAGGTAAGATTTCTTCACAGCTATAAAGTATTCAACCGGACAGGAAAACCTGTGTCATTCTTCCTGGATTTGAGTTGGCTTGCAAATTACTGGGGCTGTGATGACAAGCCAGCAAGAGTGTAAGAAACAAAGGTTTTATACTGTATTCGGAACACAAAAAGGATTTTGCCTTAATTTTATTTGAGATTAGTCTCCTTATTGCCCTGTCAACAGATATCATCACACAGGTCCAGTTACTGCATTCTACTCTCTGAGGGAGAGTCTGGCTGTGCTCGCTGAAGAGGTGAGATGTGTCAGAATCAGAGAAGTTACTCTGACCTGGAGCTTCAGCAGTCCAGTGCAATTAAAGTAATAGTAATATTAGAAATGCCACTTTGTTTAAGGGTCTGGAGAATTCATGGGAACGACATAAAAAGGCAGCAGAGTATTTCCATGCCGGCTTGGAGAGCATGGGTCTGAAACTTTTTGTCAAAGAAAAGGTAAGGTTTGAAAAGACTTTCTTCATAAAAAATGTAAAATATGTCGAGGAAGTATCATTAAATTCTGAATGTTTTACATTTACAGCATGCAAGGCTGCCTACTGTTACCACAATTGTTGCTCCACATGGATACGACTGGAAGGAAATCACCAGCTACATCATGAAAACGCACAACTTAGAGATTTCTGGAGGGTTGGGACCATCTGTTGGTTTGGTGAGAGGAAATGAGTGGCACTGGTGAGCAGTTTTGTCTGTACTTGTGTGAACTAAGACAGCTGTGTGTGTGTGTTTGTTTGTGTGATCATTGCAGGTGTTACGTGTGGGATTGATGGGATGTAACAGCAGCAAGGCTAATGTCGACATGGTGCTGGCAGCGCTGAGAGACGCTCTGAAACACTGTCATAGGAGCAAAGTGTAACATGTTACAGTTGAGAATGTGAAAATATCTTGGTATCAGGGCTTCTGTCATTTCAAAGAAACTTAAAGAAATAAATTATTATTTGCAACAATCTTGTAAGGCTGAATTTATAGTGAATGAGTGACACTGAATAAATAAAAAGAAACACAATATTATCAGAAAAACTCAGTACAGTATTGTTTAGTTTAGTATAGTATTTGATTTGCATAGTGTAGTACCGTACAGAATAGTATAGTACAAAATAGTATAGTACAGTACAGCGGAGCATAGTGTACAGTAGTTCAGTACAGTATAGTATAGTACAATACAGTGGAGCATTGTAAAGTACAGCATAGTATGGCAAACTATACTATGCTGTGCTATATGTTGTATTGTTTTATAGTATAGCATAGCATAGTACAGTTCAGTGTAGCATAGTGTATTACAGAACTGCATAGCATAGTATACTTCACAATACTGTACTACACTACACTATTTTATAGTACAAGACAATACTATACTACATTATAATAGTATTGTATTATAGAATAATATAGTTTATATATAATAATATAATATATAACAACAGTATAGTATAGTATAGTATAGTATAGTATAGTATAGTATAGTATAGTATAGTATAGTATAGTGATGTTTCAGCTCAGTGGGTGCAGGGGTTGTTCTCCAGTTGAAGAAACAGGGCTTCTAGTTCCTGCAGTGTGCTAAAGCACCCTCAGGAAATACAATGTAGCCTACCACCAGAAATGTTTCCATAGATTCCCATTGATATAATAATAACAATTTTTAAATATATAAAATTACAATGTGCGTCCAAGTGTCTGTGGTACTCTGGAGTCAGCTCTTCAGCCTAGTGCAAACTGAGTAACTGTGATGCCAATCATTGCAATAAGACCAACAAAAGGTTTGAATCCTTAACACATGCTAACTTGGAAAAAAATAGGTCACACCAAATTTAGCGCACAGTGCTATCATGCAATTGTATTTTGTCTAACAGTAAATGTAAAATAAAACCATTAACAGTTTCTCACAGTTATTTGTCGATGCTTGCTTCCTAATTCTATCATTGCACTTTTTACTGGACTAAAGGAGTAATTACAAGTTAATTTCAGATCAGCAGAAACATTAAAATCTATACAGATGTGTAAAAAATATTCATTAACAAATTTTCTTAAATGATTTCTAAACAAATTCTTTATTCTTCATACAGTATTTATTTAGTTTGGATGCCATTATAAAGCTCAGCAGACATTTGGGTTTTTATGATTTTATTGCTACTTATTTTGTTTAATTATTTGGGGTGCCAGCCAGGTCTCCCTCCTGATGTATAGGATGTTTTGACTGGTGTGTGTGTAGGATTTAACAGTTTTTATTTCTTGTGGTTTAGGGTTTATTTGTTTTAACAGTCACACAAGGATATATATCTAAAATATACACCCTTTTCAACCTCAATTAAATAATAAGTGACAGAATATTTGAAAAAGAAATAGGGCACAGACAAAAGAAATCAATTTTTGCAAATGTATTATGTACAAAACAATAAGAAAACAAACAATACAAAAATTATACAAACTATCCCTCCCCCCAGTGTCCATTAGTGGTGCTTGAACCACTTTAGTTCAGAATTCAGTGTTTTAGTTTCAAACCACAAGCTTTAGGGTCCACAAAAGCTTGGCTTTCAGTTCAGAGGTTGGACTCTCAAACTTAGCTTTACTCCACAAGAAGAATAACAACTTCTCAGCAAGATAGCTCCTCATCAAAATAAACTTAATTCAACAGCAAGAGGTAAACTAACTCCACAACAATGAAATAGAAATTCCACAGCACAGAAAAGGAGCTAAAACAAAACAAAAATACTTTTTTACAATAAAGCACTGAATTTATAGAAGACAACAAAACATGGAACAGACTTACTTGGTAGATGGGTGACTTGTGACAGGGTGTGATTTAAATATGGAAAACTAGAAAGAAAACAAAATTTGGATTGTTTCTTTTAGTTTGGTTTTCATTATTTTACAGTTTTATTGATTGGTTTGACCAGGTTGAAGGAACTGGGAACCTCTCAGTCTTCATCATCACCATCTCAGCAGAGCAGAAGACACTTCTTGCAATGTGGTAACCCATTCTCATTGGATTGACACAGTTTTCACACCCTTTTGCAAAACAGTTGACACAGATGTCATTCAACAAGTCCAAACTCCCTTTTAGCTGTCAGTATGAAACACCGAAAGCACCAGTTTGACACTTCTTCACAGAATTTTTCAATTCGCAATCAGTCTGCAGGTCTGTGTTGTTCTTTGCAAGCATGGATCGAGGAGGTCTAAGGCAGATGAGAGGCAGAGTGAGAGTGAGAGTAAGAGGTAGAGGGGTCAGAGGAAGAGGAGTCCGTGTGCAAGGTGGAGGTATAGCTGGAAGGGCTCAGGTTACAGATGAAATTCGGGCAACTGTGATTGATCATGTCGTAAATGATGGCCTTTCATTTAGAGAGGCTGGACAAAGAGTCCAACCTGTTCTAAACAGAAACACTGTTGCATCCATTGTTAGAGTTTTTCCAACAGGAGAACAGGTAATGTTGCTATGCAGTATATACAGAAATATCTGCAGTGATACATAGTACCTCATATAATTTTTTCCACATTTCATGTATTCTTTATAGAATCGAAAGCCTACCAGTCATTGGTGGTAGAGGGAGAATTTTTTATGCTGAGCAGGAGGCAGCCGTTGTCAACATGATTCTGGCAAATAATATTGAATGCGATATGGATGAGGCCATGTGGCCCATTCTTCAAGAAAGAAGAGACTAGAAGAGACAGAAGAGTATCACTTTTGGCTATCTCTTATACTCATAGTATTGGTCCATGGGCTAGGGTAGCTCACCGTGCACCCCCCCCCAACACACACACACACACACACACACACACAAACACACACACACACACACACACACACTACTGAACTTCTCTGGTTTTTTCATGTACCCTAGGGTCTCTCACAAAATGCATGTTAACAGAAAAAAAGTTGGGTCTCACTGCCCACCCCCCTTTTGGCCACACCCTTTTTCTATTGTGGACATCAATAATAGGGCTGGAGAAAACTTCATTGCCAATAACTTTGCTATAAACCAACCGAAGTTTTAAAACAAGGTATCATATCAGCAGATTTGTACTGATTAGTTCTTCGATGTACATGACATTTCATTAAGCAAATATGGACGCCTGGCTGGTAACAGGATCTGTTGCATAAATAATCAACAAAAGCACATCTAAATGAGATACCATGTCAATGTCTATCATTTAACACTATATTTATGACATTTTATTCTGACATGGTAAATCTACATGTAAGTTTGACATCCTGGAAATTCTGAAATGTGCACACAATGAGTAGGGGTGTGGTCAAAAACTGGTCGCTGGGGAGTAGTACCTACATCTTTTATTTTTTAACAGACTTTTTTCTGAATAAATGGATCCATAGATGCAAGAAAAGGCTAAGTAAGTTGAACATTTACGATATGTGTGGTAAACGCAGATAAAAGATGAAAATTTTCATCTTCTGTTGGGGTTGTGACAATTTGACCCTCTGATGACATCATTTTTTGCCCATTTGTTTAATAAAAAGTAATTTAAATTGAAGAGCTAATCAATACAAATCTGCTGATACCTTGTTTTTAAAATGTGGTTGGTTTATAGCAAAGTTATTGGCAGTTAAGTTCCCTGTACCCCTTACTTTGATGGTCAGAATGGAAAAGGGGTGTGGTCACAAAGTGGTCCCTGTGGCATAGCGAGACCCAACTTTTTTTCTCTTAACATGCTTTTGTTGAAAGAATGGACCCTAGGGTACATGAAAATACCAGAGAAGTTCAGTCATACAGTGTGCATGGAGGCCCACCATAATCTACAGACCAAAAAAGATGAAAATCTTGGTATTTTGTTGGGGTAGTGACATTTTTACCCCCGATGACATCATCAAGCGAACATTTGCTTAATGAAAGGTCTTTTAAAGCGAAGAGCTAATCAATATGAATCTGTTGATACTTTGTAAAATTTGGTTGGTTTATAGAAAAGTTATTGGTGGTCAAGGTTCATGAACCCCTAATTTTGATGGTCACAGTGGAAAAGGGGTGTGGCCAAAGCGGTCCCTGGGGGCAGTGAGACCCAATTTCTTTCTGTTAACATGCTTTTTTTGAAAGAGTGGTCCCTAGGGTACATGAAAACACCTGAGAAGTTCAGTAGTGGGGTGTACAAAGTGAAACACCACAACCCACAGATATTCACAGATAATTCATGGACCTCTGGTCCAAAACTGGAGAGTCTCAAATACAAAAGAGACCACTGGTCCTAAACATGACATTCTCAGATACAACAGAGTCTACTGGTCCTAAACCAGACAGTCTCAGATACAATAGATTCCAGTGGTCCTAAACCGAACAGTCTCAGATACAACAGTCTACAGTTAAAATTGCACATTCTCAGACACAACGGAGACCACTGGTCCTGAGACGGACAATCTTAGATATGTCAGAGTCCACTGGTCCTGAGCCGGATAATCTCAGAAATATCAGAGTCCACTGGTCCTGAACTAGACCGTCTCAGATACTTCAGAGTCTTCTGGTTCTAAACCGGACAGTCTCACAAGAGTCCACTGATCCTAATCCGGACAACCTCAAATACAACAGAGACCAGTAGTACTAAACCAGACATTCTAAGATACAACAGAGTCCAATGGTCCTGAGCCGGACAGTCTCAGATACTTCAGAGTCCTCTGGTCCTAAGCCAGATATTCTCAGATACTTCATGGTTCTCTGGGCCTGAGCCGGATAATCTCGGAAACATCAGAGTGCACTGGTACTGAACTGGACAGTCTCAGGTACATCAGAGTCCTCTTGTTCTAAACAGGACAGTCTCATATACAAGAGTCCATGATAGAGTTTTATTGGATTTATTAAACTTCTTAAGGTGTTTCAAATAAAGTCTTGAGGTACGTGACGAATGTATAATTCATCATGGCGTGTCCACAGAGTGTAGCAGGTAGAAATGCTCTTAAGCAGAGCTAGTAAGACAAAACAAGTTTGTGTTGTCTTTACTATTATCCACA